TGTTTTCTTCAAGTCGACCTTCATAGCCTCCTGCTGTCAAGTTTTCCTCTTACTGTTAGTGTTACATACTACTTATATCTACAGACATAAGTAGCATACGACACAATTCAACATTTTCGATAACTCAAGGTTATCATAGATCAATCCCATTTGAAGTTGTTCATAAGCACTGAGCATTGGGCTAATCCGAGTCGGGTAGAGACAGGTATCTACCTCAGTACAATGGAAGATGGTCGCGCGATTTCGTAGATTGAATGATGTTAGACACAAACACCATTGGATACCGGCTCAATGTTTCAGTAGGTTAAGCGTTCGCGCGCAAGACTGAAGGCCCTGAGTTCGTGGACACGCACTGCTGAGGAGTTTTACAATAGTACAAAACGGCCGTTTAGTGCTTCCAGGTTTCCAACGGTGGTCTTACATCAATCGGTTCATGATCTCGATCTAAAAATTAGTAAATTGAGTTGTCCCTTTCTCTCACACACACGCATATCCGTACACTTTCAAATTACTTCTATAACTACATTTCTATGCAATAGTTTTGGAATTAGCCTTTAACCTACGAAAATTTCAGTCTACTATCGAAACATATAACTACTGATATATAAAACAAGTAAGATATTTTGTTTTAATTTATTACCCAGTAATTACGTAACTTTAAATGGAGAAAAAAAATCATACATGACTCGTTTTCATCAAAGATAAAGAAATATTACGGATCATTAATTGAATTAATTCGTTATAGTTTAATAAATGTTTATCCATTCGAATGTTATTATGGTTGAAATGACAAGAAATCAAGGAAACACTTCTTTAATGGATTTAGACAAGTATTTTACATATACAGATATACCAAAACAAGATTGATGTTCGTAATATGTAGTATATAAGGTAGTGGACAGTAGTTTATAACATGTAATTTGTGAATAGAATGATATAGAGAATTCTTTATTGATTAACATGAGTGTTTTTTTAAATGATACTCTACAACCCTATTCAAATGTTAAAAAATTTAATTTCAGTTCCGCATATCACCATTACCATCATCATCATCATCATCATCATCATCATCATCATCATCATCATCATCATCATCATCATCATCATCATCATCATCATCATCATCATCATCATCATCATCATCATCATCATCATCATCATCATCATCATCATCATCATCATCATCATCATCATCATCATCATCATCATCCAAATCATCATCATCATCATCGGAAATATCTACTTTAATCAATAGTTTCCACGCCCGCCTCAGTTAGAAATCATAAATCCTGAGATGAAAATGGAGACTATTGATTAAATTAGATATTTTGGATGATGTATAACCAAGTAGGTGATTATTTAACGTATACAGTCGGAATTCTAAATTCAATGATAGATATATAATTCATTACTTATGTTACCTTGAACTTAATTATTGCAAAGAGAAGTCTGGTAATGTGCGATATTCCCGGTTATCGATATATATATATAGTTTCCTAAATACTCAACCATATATATTTACAGGATACACATAACGCCATGTCATTAACATAGTTTAAATTTCAATCTATTGAGTTAAGTGGGAAAGATTGATTGAATAAAATATATTCTCTCTTGTTTTCATTAATTTGTTAATAGAGTACTTTAAATGATAATTATTATTGAGGTCAATTAATTTGTCAACGCATATATCAACAAATATTTATTGTGAAACATAGTTTAGTTTACATAATTGATTGATCACTGGGTGGTGATCAAGGTCATGTGTATTAGGTTCTTCTTAGTGGAGATCAAATCTTATCGACCAACTACCATCTTATCTCAACATAGTGAACTCAAGGTAGAGTCACCTAGACTAGTGGTCGCATTGCAGCTTGATCAATAGGATTCAATCTGCATTGAAAAGAGCCTGACACTCATGACATTGATCACCATCCAGTAATCAATCAATTGTAAATACATCTTAACCCTACAGAAGGGCAGTCACGACCCGGATAGCTCAGTGGTAACGTCTCTGACTGTGAAACTGCGTGATACGTTATTAAATCCATCGGGGATTATCAGTTTCCTCACGATTACAGGTACACCTTGCTAACGAATGCCAAGTAGCATGAAAGCTATGTTCAAGGTTATCTATCGACTACCTTGAACCATCATCTTAGTTTAGTTTATACATGTCAGTTTCTATTGTCATTGGAAATCACATTATTCATTTAAGAGATCTTTTTACTTCAATATTATTCTAATTACTTGTAAATAAAATAATTTTTAACAGGATACTTACTAGCAAAATGTAATAAAATGTAACTAACTTCAACATTTCACTCAATTAGCTCATTTAAACTTCTTTAGGATAATAATCAAAACTAATAAATATTAATATCAGAAGGGGTTTTTGTGGATAGTATAATAATTTCAATAGTTGAGATAAAGAGTCAATTAAAGCTAGACCATCATGGAAGGCCTGAAAGCACTGGACGGCCGTTTCGTTCTATTGTGGGACTGATTGAGTGGGACTGGTCGGTCCTGGATTCGAATTTTACGAGGTGGGATCGTAAATGCTCATTGCCATGGATGAACCACACAATAGGATGAAACGGCCATCCAGTGTTTCTAGGTTTTCCATAGTGGTCTAACTTCGATTGACTCATGAATTCAACTATTGTAATAAATATTACATTGAAGAATCTCAAATAACCTTATTCAGTGTAACGTTGGAATTAACTACATTTCATTCAATGCGACTACTTTTTAATATAATTTTTATATATCAGTTTATCCAAATGTTCTTCAAAGTTCAGTGAAGTAGAGCAAAACAGAACAAAAAAGAGCAACATTTTATTTATCACATTAAGGAACATGTTTTTGGTATTTCTTCAAGTTTAAATAACAATACTGAGAGGAAGGTAGATATATATTTAATGAAATGTATTCAGTAAGAAGAAATATTGGATAGGAATTCAGTAGTCGGAAAGTGATGCATTCGGGACGAAGATTAATGTTTTGGATTTAATCCCTAGTAGAATTATGGATGCGTAACACTGAGGAGTTTCATACTTTAGTGAAAAAAAACTATCAAATACTTCGTGATTTGACCAAAGGTTGATACTATCATCTTCTATGAACAATCATCGTTTGAAAATGAACAACAATACATTATTTGAAACTTGTGATCAGAATGTGTGTAAGACGGAACATTGAAGGGAAACCGAAAATAGAGAAAATAAAGAACATACTGCGTCGGGAATTGGAAACAGGCATGAAAAGGATGAATAATAACTGGAAACAACTGGTAAGGTTTGCCTAGGATAGAAGTCGGTGGTAACTGTTTGTGGGTGGCCTATGCTCCCCTTAGAGGGTAACAGGCGTAGGCAAGTAAGTGATATGCAACGGATAGTTTACATTCAACTTATAGAAAAAAAAAGATTGCAATGTGGATTATTAGTTCAATATCTTAATATCCTTTTAATGAACATATTAAGTAGCATAATATTGAATTTAAGGATAATAAGTCTAAAATTCACTTAACTTATAATAACATCTATTGCGTTGAATGGGAGAATATATTTCTACATTCTAAAGCGTGGTTGATCTTTATAGTTTTACAAGATATCTAAGAAAAAAAACAACATTATCATAAACATGACACTTGCTACTTAAATTGTATTGGAAAGTAAAACTTATAACCATTTTTTTTAGATTGATGATCGATTATCTACTAGGAACCATTATTAACAAGGTTAACTCATTATATGACATGAAAATGTGTATTTGGTTTCCAGTTATACTCTAATAATGAGTGTTTGCACAACTACTCAATTATCCAAAATTACAATGTACTGCTTTAAAAAGTAGAAAGCTTTATTTATTGAACTAAAAAAATATTCACTTGACAACAACTGATATTATATTATCTACTGTTCACTATTAATGGAATTCAATCATATAATTCTCAGTCTATTCATTTAACTAGAAAGCAATGTCAACTTCTTTAAAAAAAAAAGGAATAACACATTCTCCCTATTAACAAATAATAAAGGAAAACTTGGGGATTCTTTTTGTTCTTATTGTATTCAGCTGTAATGCATCAATGATTTTACATTGTAAAATTAATCATCATTAATCAGAAGTTATTTTAGAAAGAAATTTGTCAGTGTAAAAATATCAAATGACTCGTTGTGATATTTTGAAAACACCACAGTCAGTCAGTCAGTCAGCTACAACATGGGTTAAGACACATATATACATCGGTTCAAGTTGCCATACCACATTAGCACAACAAGATGAACACTGGATTCATAGAAGTAATATATAAAAGAAAGATTGCATATAAGGATATAGTACAGGAAGAAAGAATAAGTACATAGAAAGAATGATATGAGGCAATTTTAATCTCATAGTTTAAGGGAAGACAGAGAGTGTAAACACCCACATGATTGTGATCGATTCTGAGCCATGTCACCAAGAGTCTCCAACCATTGGCTACAGTATAGTTTTAATATTTAAAAGGTATCAGTAATTGCACAAATGTCATTTATATTTTTCTAAAACTGATAATAATCTGCACAGGATGTATATATGCCAATAAGAGACTGATTAATTTCAGTCCTAAACATTGATGGGAAGATTCAAGCCAACAATACTAAGTGCATTTAAACTCCACCCCATTACACAGGCAAGTGGTTATCAGGAATCAGTCGCTAAGTGGATAACGTAATGGTGTTTGGAATGAACGATACTGGGTTTGATTCCTTGAGCGAGCATGGAGTAAACATCAATCCTAGCATGCAAGCACATCCAGCTGATGAGTCCCAAATAGGACGAAAAATGCATCCTGGATTACACTACTAGCCACCATCCATTCCTATTTATAATGCATGTGAATTAAGAGAATATCGAGACACTCTGCACAGGATGCACATATGCCAATAAGTGATGAATCAAATGCAGTTCTAAACATCAATCAGAAGATCCAAACAAACAATATAAAATGAACTTACTTTTGTTCTTTGAGAAATTGTACTCAGTTGTGGAAATTACAAAATATTAATATTTACTGAAAAGCATAAGAATTATTTTCTTAATTTATTACTTCTGTATGTTAATCGGTTGATCGTGTAATTAATACATTTCATTTATAAATATTTGTTTATATACGTTTTTGAAAAAAGATTAGCCAATCAAATTCGTATCATTATTTTGAATTGATTTGATTGGTTAATTCATACATATATAAACGTTCTCGAATAATACATACTATTATCTATCCACTTATCTATTCATCCTTCTGACCATATATATATATATAGACTTCGTATTATAATTAGACGAAAAGATAACTCAACTTTATGTATTTTCTTAGAAGAATTCTGGAAATAACTATGTAGGTAATTTCGCCCACTTGAAATTTTGTATATATAGTGATGGTGAACTAAATTTTTGCAAAAAATTCTAGTTAACTGTTCAGAAGATGGAAGGCACTTTTTTCCTTTTAGGTAATAATAAGTTATTTTCATAATGAATAATCTAAACTTATGAGAAGTTTATTGTCACACAATCTCAGATTTTCCTGTATAATATTATAAATGTAAGACATAGTAGAAGATATCTACAATCTGGAGGATGTTTCAAGCAACTGGTTCCTTTCATGAATTTGAATAAGGTCAGAACAACAATTGAGGTAGAATAATATGAATTCATTATATTTCGTGGTTTCTTATCAGTTGCTTACAACCGCGTATATATTAAAGGGTAAGAATGAGGTATGAACCGATTGACATTTATGACGGAGAGAACTACAATGAAAAGGATTATCAATAATAACTATATATTTGTCTGTGCAAGAAGGTATGTGAGGTAATTTGGAGATAGAATTCAAAAACATAAGGGTTTAGGTGAGGCAGTAATTGAGTGAGGTCCAGAAATATTTAAGATTGTGTGGTAATTTTAGAGGTTGTGAAGTATTCACATAAGATTACTGAGATCAGAAATGGATAAGATGGGTTGTTCAATAATTCCTCATCCATAATTCTGTTCCTGAACCTCATTCAATTACTGCCTCACCGAAACCCCTATATTTTTAAATTCTATTTCAAAATTACCGAACATCTGTTATTGCACAGACATATATACACAGTTATTATTGATAATCTTTTGACTGTATTTCTCTCCGTATTTAATGTCACTTGTTTCACATTATACCATGCCTCAATGTTTCCTTTCATTGATATGCGGGATGTTTGTTGATCACTGATATCTTCAAAGTATTGTCCACATGAATCGGAACAACCAAATGGGCAATGCTGAGGTTAGGCATAGATTATTTGTCAACAAAGGTGAATCGGTTGATGAAGTTTGAAATTTTTATCGACTGAAGTGTCATGGACATTTGTCATGTACTATATTCATCGCCCATCAAGTAGAGCGATGCCAACTGGTAAGTTGGAAGAAGGTTAGTGAAGACCATACCAAGACGTGGTATTAGTCGATGTAGCCAGTGACTGACTGTTGAACTGATCCACCTTTATAGATGCATACTAATCGGTTAAGGTCATTTAGCTAGATAACCACATTCAGTAGCTGAAGTTCTTAGAAAGTATGATTCGAAATCGGTCACAATGGTGCACTCACTTTTAAGTTTTCCAACTATACTCTGTGTAATCAGTCTACCCCATTACCACTTTTACTACATAATTTCGATTTTATTTACCACTCTTCAGGTTAACTTCATTTAGTTGTATTTATGTGGTAACAACGACTTGAACCAATGCATATTTTTGTCGAGCTATAAGTTAATGATGTCTGACTGAGTGACTGATGAAAATGAAGGTTTTAAATGGTAATAATTACAGACAATATTCCTCATATCAATTCGGTGTACATTTCGTTTAATGTAACATTCGTGAACTTTCATTCAGTAAGACAATTATAGTTTTTGTATCCATTTAGGTGAACTAAATTCAATGTGTATGATTTGACAGTAACATGTGTGACATATATGACACCATTTAGTGTGTAAAAATCAGTGTGACAATGATTGTACTTCGGTTTAAGAAAAGTGTGGTTTCAGGATTTGTTTGGTGATGTGTTTTCCAAAAGTCACTAAATCCACATTATATTAGTTTTCTATATTCTTAATTTACGTTGTGAGTATTGCATTAGTTCCCAGTTGTCAAGTAAAAACAGTTAGACTCCGGACTCTGGACTCCAACATAGTTGACACGTACATAACAACGACGAAATGCCATCAGAAACGGCAGAGACGAACTCTCAGATATAACAGTAGTTATATACTATATCAAATAACATTATTTTTTAGTGGTAATAAATCCTTAAGTTATGGGAACTTAAGGATAATTCATTGATCAGTGAAGATAATCATATAGAATACCTACAAAAATTTATTCGAATATCAATTGCATACTGATTTTACACTGTCATTTCAGAAATATATCTTCTCTTTCAGTAATGATAGATCCCCTTATGTTACATTTTCTTATACAATAATAAATAGTTATTCATCCTTGATAGACTTCTCTACAACTTCTTGTATTGTTATTATTTACTTTTCGAATAATATTGGATTGCCATAAATCAAATGTGTATGCATCACGCGATTACTGTTTGGTATGTCGGATCGTTTCTTTCTCTCTATCTCTCTCTCTCGCCCACTCACTCACTCACTCACTCGCATACCAACTAAATAGATGTTTGACTAAACTTAGTAGTAAACAATTAACTGTTTTTGATAGTTTCTATCTCTCTTATTTGTTTTCTTCATGTCACGCAATTACATTCAAAAAATATAGTTCAGTTGAATGAATTTAAATACATTAATCGTTATCATAACACTAAGGAAATGGAAGTGCCTCCAGTGGACTGTACAATCACATATAATATTGACTACTTTGTAATGTTACTAATGACAGTTTAGTTTTTTCAGTCTGATCACCAAATCATATATATATATATATATATATATATATATATATATATATATATATCAAAAGGGGTTTTGTGGATATCATAGTAATTTCAATGGTTAAGATCATGAGTCAGTTAAAGCTAGACCAAGAGGTATATCCTGTAGTTCTAGTGAGAAGCAGTGACCAGTGGAGTTCAACCGAGTCAGTTTTAAAATAGTAACTCACTGATGACAATGCTGGATGTGTCGCTCAATTTCGTGGATTAGTTGAAGTTAGACATTAACACAATTGGATGCCGGTTTAGTGGTCTAGATGTTAAGCGCTAGCGCGAGACTGATAGGTCTTGAACTCGAATCGCGCGGGGGCGGCATCGTGGATGCGAACTGCTAAGGAGACGCACAATAGGACAAAACGTGCTTCCAGGTTTTTCATAGTGGTCTAGCTTCAATCGACTCATGAACTTAACCATTTATTTATCGAGTTCGGGGCTTTTAACACTAAGCATAAGTCAATTAAGCAATCGATAGGTAATAACAGGAACATATATAACAGTATGTTAACCGAAATTAGAATAAGTACAAATTATCCCGTTGTTAACATTCAGAACAGGAGTCTTAATAGTATTTATTGATATATGTTCATTCTCAGCTTTTTTCCTATGGTGAAGCTTGAGGAGGAAGCCAAAAGCGGAAGTTTAGAGTTGAAAGTCGATGTAGGAGGAATAATAGGAATTGAAGAGGGAGGTTAATCATGAATACAGTGGTCTTGAGTGCCGTTAGAAGTATGAGGGCGGTTATAACATCCTGGTTGTCTACACAGTGGAAGGGCTCTTCTGGAAGTATCTGAAAAGAAAATTGGATTAGAGGTGCTCCTAGTGACCTGAGAGTGTGATCACAGTGTCCAAGGTACAACTGCTTGAGGTCGGTCACACACAACCTTTTCGTGAGTAATTTTCATGTTAGCTTTGTGATTGTTTGAACCTTACCTCCGCAGACGGATATCCGTGGGATAAGGCAAGGTGTGTATTTTTAGGGTCGACCTTTTCTAACCACACCCTTCCTTAGTAGGAAGACACCATCGCTATTATGCTGGTTGTCTGAAGGAAACACCCTACTGCTGTCACACCTCTGTACAATCAGCAGTACAACTTCACTCTCGGGCCTCGGATTTACTGCCTGTTGTCTTACCGCTCTCCATCCGACCTGTCTGTTATGGTATGACCTTGATGAACAATCGTTTTTGCCAGTATAGCTTGATTAGTTGATCACGATAGGCAAGCCTGACCACCACGTCAAGATAGCAACAACTTTCGTGGCATCAGTCCATGAAGTCACTAACTTCTGGTCTGAGCCATGTTGGTAGATTCAGACTACGTGGTTGGGGTCCGCGTGACTATCGTGACCAACGTTTGGAGACTCTTGGTGACATGGCTCAGAATCGATCACAATCGCTTCATATCTTTCTTTCTGTCAATTAATTCTTTCTTCTGGCACCATATCCTTATATGCAATCTTTCTTTTATATATTACTTCTATGAATCCAGTGTTCATCTTGTTGTGCTAATGTGGTATGGCAACTTGAACCGATGCATATATGTGTCTGATCCTACGTTGTAACTGACTGACTTACTGAGAATTTTTTGTCTCGATTTATTCTTTTTTTTAATGGTTAGTCATAGACTCATCAGTTAAATTCAACTAAATCCTAGCGTTGATACTCACAGTGAGACTTCAACCCACTACCAACATTTTATCCATTGATTTATTCAATCCAACTGGGCAAATGGAAGGAATAATGCATCCTATGTTAAGCTTCTAACCAATATCCATTTATTGTAACGTAAATCAAAAGTTACAAATAATAAATTGATAACTTCCGTTTAATTTAATAGATGTATTTGAAGTAAATAAATGCCGATTTAGAAATTGTAGGAAATGTGAAAATAGTCTAGAAGTGCTGTTTAGTTAATTAAATCCTGTAGATGTTTACTAACCTTCTGTTACATACAAGTGAATAAGTTAAAAATCCGTAACTGTGAGGATATTGGATTATTATACATATTTCATTAGTTGAGATCATGAGTTAATTGAAGCTAAACCACTATGGAAAACCTGGAAGCACGTTTCGTCCTATTGTGCGTCTCCTTAGCAGTTCGCATTCACGATGTCGCCCCCGCGCGATTCGAG